TCTGGATTGGCGTATACGACAGCGTGTTCCAGTTCCTGCCATTATCCAGCAACTTCGCACAGCCATTGAAGAGGAGTGGACCAACATTCCACAGGCCACAATCAATAACCTGATCAACTCTATGCGAAGGAGATGTGTTGCACTGCGTGAGGCAAATGGTGGTCACACCAGATACTGACTGGTTTTCGGACCCCCCTGGAGCCCCCAATACAGTAAAACTGCACATTTTAGAGTGGCCTTTTATTGTGGCCAGCCTAAGGCACACCTGTGCAATAATCATGCTGTCTAATCAGCATCTTGATATACCACACCTGTGAGGTGGATGGATTGTCTCGGCAAAGGAGAAGTGCTCACTAACACAGATTTAGACAGATTTGTGAACAATATTTGAGAGAAATAGGCCTTTTGTGTACATAGAAAAAGTCTTAGATCTTTGAGTTCAGCTCATGAAAAATGGGAGCAAAAACAACAAAATTATAAACGCAACACTTTTCAGTGTATAAAGTTGATATAAAAACTGCCTTATGTGTAAACTAAATGTTTGGTTTTTGGATATATTTTTAGGTTTTGGCTTAATGAAAACTTTAATTTTGCTGTTTTGGTACTGAATACTTTCCGTACCCACTGTATATATATAATGCTTTTAGATCTTAGTTCAGCATTTGGTTTTGTCGACCACGGTATCCTGTTGTCTCGGCTGGAGCATTGCATTGGTACTAGGCCACTGTACTAACTGGTTTTGATCTTCAGAAGATTTTCAGTCAGCATTGGCAAGTACCGCTTCTGTAGCGAATTCTACATGTGGTGTTCCCCAGGGATCAACCTTGGCACCGCTACTGTTTTCACTGTATATGTTATCCATGGGATCTATATTTAGGAGATTTGGAGTATCGTATCATTGCTATGCTGACGATACTCAGCTCTACATATCAATTAAACGTGATGATAATTCTGCTGTAATTTAATTAACTGCCTGTCTCCTTGAATTTAAAACGTGGCTTACAAATAATGTTCTACATCTAAATAATGATAAAACACATGTTGTATTGTTTGGATGAAATGGAAAAACTGCCCTGAGCTCAGTTGATTTAGGCTCTCTTATCCCATATCAAGTCCACAACGCTAAAAATCTGGGATTTATACTTGACTGCAAACTAAAGCTAGATAAACAAATTAATGCCACTGTGAGATTAGCAAAGGTTAAACCCCTCCTAAATAGGAAGAGTTTTGAGACTGTAATACATGCTTTCATCTCTTCGCGACTTAATTACTGTAACTCACTTCACTATGGCTTGCTGGTCTCATCGATACATTGACTTCAGTTGGTTTGCTCACAGGCAGTCGCAAATGGGTTTATATTACACCGATCTTACGCTCGTTGCACTGGTTACCGTTGCAGTTAGGGCTGGGTATCGTTCAAAAATTTTCCAATATCGATACCTTGACTTCGATACCAGTTCCTGAACGATACTTTTTTTCGATACCAATTTTATGAAATCAATTTTAACAAGATTACATCTAAAAAAAAAACAAACTAAAAAAAACTTTGGTTTTATTTTTCAGCTTGTTGATGTTTATACAAACTCAAAGACTCATCTCCTGAGCCACTGTACAAAGGAACAAAATGTAACCAACACAATAAATCAGTGAAAATAGTTTTAATAAAGCTCAAACAGTCTTCAGTTTACACATCTGTTAGGCTACATTTACACTAGTGCGTGTTCGTGTTAAAACGCATAGCTCAGACAGAATCATGATTTATATTTATTTTCCACTGATTTACTGATGAGCATTAGCTTGCTTCCAGCGCTGTCTGTCTGTGCTCTCTCTTCCATGATTGCTACTCTGACTCAGAGGTAATAACACATTTAATTTCAGCAACATTGCATGGCCAAAACAGACATTAGACGGCAATCGGAAGTTATTACAAACACTTGATGGTGGTTTAAAGTGAGTAAAAGCGGAATATAAATCTTATTTATTGTCTTATGTAGCATGATGCTAGTGTGCATGAATGGTAACATAACACGCGCTTTCGGTCGTGTAACGTTAGTATGAACGGACATCTGCATATGATCGGAACTCCCCGCAGCTCCCGCGCTACTTTCCATTGGAAATTAATGACTGGTCTGTTGCTTGTCGTTTGTCGGAGATAGTGGAAAGCCGGCTTGAAATGCAGTGCAAGCGCCAGTATAACGAGGATCGTTTTCATTTTAAAACAAACGCACCAGTGTAAACGTAGCCTTACATCTAAGGGGGCTGGGAGGCATTCGCACTACAGCCTCACGTGTGTGCCACATCTCTGAGTGTAACCGGTGTAAACTAGTAGGTGTGTTCGACTTGACGTGGACCAACTGTGCAGACCGATCGGTGTATTACAGTACCACGAGAGCTATAAAGA